TAATTTTTCACGAGATTCTATTCAACCAATCAGCTCTGTAAAAACAACTACTTAATATTAGCAACATTTATTTTGAAAACTTGCAGGTATATATCTAATATTTTAACAAAACTGAGTAAGGACAGATGGGATTATACTAGAGATGTCAAATATGATTACTTTTGAGTACCGATTACTTTCGGTTTAAGTAATCGGTACTGTGTATTCGTTACTTTGATTACTATGAGTAGTGGCTTCAAAATATTCTAAATAGAATAGTAATCAGTAATTATACCTAATTGATATACAGTACTGTAAGTTATAGGCGAGTAAATATCAAACCGCATCATATTATGAATATAATCTAACCTCAATTTCTCTTAAAAAAGAAATACCGTGATAATATCTGAAATATTAAGGTTTGTTTGATAAAAAAAATAATTATGTATAATGCAACGATCAGATTATGAATATAAACATATATTTCGAAAATAAACAATCAGTTTTAAAATAAACAAAAATAGAAAATACATATTTTTTAGATTATATATTATTATATTAACTTTTTTATAGGAAATATTTTTTCTAATATAAGTAGGTACAAAAAGATGGTACACAAAACAAATAAAATTGAATTCAACGTAATAATGCAAGTACTCGTTTCGTGTCGATATAATAATATGAATAAGTGTCAAGTGAGCATTGCATAAGTATCCATATTCCATTAGATAAAGTACTCTATATTGCCTACATCCAAGAAGTAATCAAATAATCAAAAGTAACGAATACTTTTTCAAACGAGTAATAGTTACTTCGGATCCAATCGAGTAACAAGTACTCATGTAACGAATTGATACTTTTTCGACATCTCTAGATTATACATATATTTAGGTATTTGAGTATACTGATACCTGTGAAAAAAGAATAATGAAACAAATCCTTGTGCCAAAAAAATTAGTCAATAGTTTTACCTCGAGTTTTGAATTCGATTTCTACCCTTGTCGACTTATTTCAAATATTTTGCATCGTTGGCGTTGAGAAGAGCGTTTGATTATCGCATTGCGAATCGAGTTTTTTTGGAAAATTGCGAAACGTGATTGAAAATTTAGGCAATATGCTTTGTTTAAGGTAGCTTTGAATTGCGAATAGCTTTTTACTCTAAGCTCTAAACGGTATATAGCAGATTTGTGACTTCGCGAACGACACTGGTGTGGAAATTCGAAAGATGCGCCACGACAATACAGTATTATTAAGAAGTACATAAAATTGAATATCTAAACCTGTTACACGTTTTCATGTTAAAATCAACGGGAACTCAAGATGTAGAGAAAAGTAGGCGTCGCCCACAAATTTTACGAGTCACTTAACTAGCCATTTTGAAGCAGAAAACATAATTTAGTTTTAATATCCTTGCAAAATCACTCCTTAAATTGTGGTAAGAACTACTGTTGAATGTAGTCTCCACACTGCTGATTTGAAAAAAATGAATTCAGACAGTTTAACAAACTTAAGAAAATGGGAAAAAACAAATTGGAAAAATGACTGTTTATCGTCAATATCGAGCTGGAATCAATAAAATATCAGTTTATTTCGTAGAGTCTAGATAAATATCATATATACAATTTATATAAATATATTTTAATAGATAACCTTTATTTACTTCCTTATCTGTGGTCAGTGTTGACACACTTGTTGAACATGTAAATCCAGACAAATATTAAACAAATGGCCAAAATTTTTCTCAATTAATTAATAAGCTGACAAAATTTCTACATAGTTCAGCTTATTTTTGCTAGTAATTTTTGGTGATTTTAGAAGGTGTTTAAATAAAAAATTTGAACTTCTAAAGGATGATGAAAAAAATCAGTCTCTAAAACTAACATATGTAACTAATATAAAAGTCGTATTTCAAAATGAACATCGAAAATAAATCGTGTATAAAAGGAGAGAGATGAAAAGCTGTATTCCGATTTACAAGATTTATGTGTATAAAAATATAATCTAGGTACCAGAGACAGTTCGAATTCCCAGCCCACGCAGAGATAGACTCGAGAAAATGAAGATGTGGTCTGAACTTGAACCGAGTCTAATGTAATGACGAACAACTGTTAAAATTCCTGTGTGGCTTAAAAACATGAGATATAATCCCAAAGTCGGCAGACTTACTTCGATTTGTCATCGTTAATCGATCAATTTTCTAAATCCGGGTCCTTAGTATTGCACAAGGTCTCTTTTATTTCATTGGTAAACGTATATATTTATTAAAACGAGTCTTTTTTTTACCACTAAAATGTGTAGGTTTGTTTATTAGAAATACAAGGGATAAAGCACTATCGGTTAAAAACACGATTCTCTTATGAAGTAAACATATTTAAACCGATGTACTCGTATAACTCGTTAAGTTAAAAGGTCAAGCCACTAATACGGGCTGTCGGCTTAACTAATATGACATACACGTGTTAGTTTCCTACAGAAAGCCTTGTTTCTCGATATAAAAGCATGTAGATTTTTAAGCACATTGTAAAATGGAAGTCTATAAATATGTTGTAGATAATGGGTCGGCAGTTTTATCAGATTTGTACTAGTAATGTAAATATGTAACGGTGGTAAACATGCGTTATTTAATCAATAACAGAGCCATCTTTAAATCCCACAGACAAACAGAGGATATTTGTACACGGGATAGCTATTTTTCACGGATTCTAACATGTTTTAAAAATTTTGCCAGTTATTAACAATTAATTTTGGATTTCATCAATATTATACACGTGACTTATTTTAAAACATAAATTAGTTTTATTTACAATTAGTAAGGTACATACCATTATCGGTTAATACGTAATATGAACATTTTTAATTTTTTAAAAACAATTTTTTTTTAATGTTGGGTGCTTTGTCCACACCGACGTAAAAAATCTGGTGACTTTAAAATAACACGTCATTGATATAGAAAAACAGTATATTTACAATTAGTAACGTAATTAGATAATATTTAATAAATCATGTATTTTTTTTATTTTTTTTTATAAACTGTAAAATGATTAAATGTTCGGCACTTCGACCACAGTGATAGCAAAAAAAATATGATGACTTTAAAATAACACATCACTCAGTTATTCAAGAACCAATCTGTTTTACTAAATTATTTTTCATTGTCACTTCGTACAATATAGGTTGATTTAAAAACAACTAGCAACGCTGATAGTGCACTAATACAAAAATTACAGCTACGATTATTTATTTGACTAAAATAAAAATAATTTCAGATTTGTATTACATATATATGTTATGGACCAGGTGATTAATGCGGGCATTATTAATAATGTGCGGGCATTATGAATAATGTCTAGCTCTATCGGGCTAAGTGATTAATTACTATCTAAACTTCATTATTTATCACATTGCACGGTCATTATTATATTGCTACGTGACAAATGGGCAATTTGATAATAAAGTTAAATTTGACACGGTGCGGGGAGGGAAGCACCGAATTATGCCAAATAATGAGTCTGATTGCTTAAACTTTAGTTTATTTTATGTTTTATAATAATATGTCAAAACTTCTATAAAACAAAGATAATGTTGTGAAATGTTTGTTTTAAATTTTATGTTTTGTGTTTTTAATATTATTAATTTATATTTTTAATATGACTTTCCTTAAGTTTTAAATGCAGAAACTAGTGGATTCTTAATGTAGAAGTCCTTGCTAATTATTCCAAATAAGAGTCTGATTATTTAAATTGTTTAGCATTTAGTTTATTTTTTAGATGCATAATGTTGGTCCCCTGATTACGCAACTTTGTCCCAATCGTATTTCTTAGCGTTTCCGAGATCCCTGTAGTGAGAAGCGAATTTGTAACAGCCCTCGTAACAGCCTGTATATGTATTTTCGGTTTCGATGGGAATTAAAAATATATATTATACTTTAAGGAAAAACAAATTAATTTTCAATAATAATATAATAAACATTATAATTTCACAGAACCAAGTCTTATTTTTTCCTAAAATGTACTTCGATTTCTGATACTAAAGGTTGTTTTTTCAGCATCCGAAGGTGAAGTAAACCGCAAAATCCATTGTGAAGTCTCGAAACGAAACACCTAATTTCCTCAACGGTTAAATACCCGTATTTTGCGAACACCTTTTCTCTGAAGCCGTGAAATAGAAGTTTTTATACCGAAACACGACGAGTTCAAATGTCAAAAGGTAATAACTTCGCGCTTTATTTCGAATCACTAAACAGTTGTGTTTCGCGAATGAATAAACGTGAAGGAAAATTAGAAAATTTCCTAGTCGTATTCTCTTTCATTATTATCGAAAAATGCGTCACGACTACGGAAGATAATACTATTTCAGGAAGTTAACAAAGACAATGGTAGATATATTGCACTAAAAGTTAAAAAGGAGTAAACAATAACTTCTAATCATTTATTTTTTTTTTTAATAATAATTCCAGTTAATTTTTATCAATAGTATATCTCCGCCACTGCCTCCAAAAAATATTATTAGCGTAAGATTAAATAAGCGTCGACTTAAATTAGTAGTACATTTTATAAATCGAGAAAGACAGCTCAACAGGTGCTAAAAATCGCCTCGTTAAAAAAGTTGACGTAATTCAGATTTGCTTCAATTGCCGCTACGATACTAATTATATTAATACATATTTGTCTTTTCTTGTACAGGATATCTGTTTGGTTTAATTAAAAGGTTGATAAATTTTCAACGCTACAAAAAAGTACTGACTGAAATTAAACGTTTTATTAATAGTTTTCAACCACAGGAGTTTTATCATTATTATTGCACAGTCAGGCTATTTCGCAAAGCAAAGTTTACATTACACGGTGGTTAAACAAACATTTACTCGATATCAAGCATTGAACGTTTCAGGAGCTTGAAGCAGTTATTTATTTTCGCCGTCGAACTAAACAAATGACCCAAAAAACTTGTATATTTTCGATTTTCACACGCGTGTATATATAGAAAACAACACAAATATGCGTACGTTATTTTTTTTTACTTACGCACTGGGATGTTGGGCTTCCTAACGAAAAAGGACTGCATATAGCAGGTCAGAAGACGCACCTCACGCGCGTCGTTTGGTCACCACAAAAATCACCATCGACACAAATCCGAACAAAGCCCACTGAGTGCATTCACGTCCAGGACACTACGGTAATACTGTCTGTATCTTCCTGCTGACCAAGCCGTCTCTCGTTCCGTTCCTGCTACGTTCGCCGAGCAGCTCGAGTGACTGTCCTGCTGTCGCGCCGAAAGCATTGGAGTCGCGAGATCGGCGGAGTCAGGCACATCGCGGTAGCCGTGGACCGGCGCCCCGCACGAACTGTACGGGAGAGATGGGTTTTTAATCTCGGGGCTCAATCAAAGTGTGCTAGATGTTCTATTTACTTCTTCAAAAAGCATCAATTGTATTTCGAGTTGACTTATCTTAGAATGTGTAATTTTATTTCAGAAAGTATCTAACATATTTTTAAATTCGTCAAAAGCATTTTATTTTATAAGAAATTCACGTTAAATTAAGTTTAAAAATTATACTATCAAACATTAAAACAAATTTAATTTTTGACATTTCCCGAGATAGAATTGACTAATCTGAAGTACAAATAAAGTAATCCAAAAATTACAAAAATGAAATTGAAATGATAAAAATTCTAAACTTAAACTGTAGAATTGGTTAAGGTGGCCATATCCCTGGCCGAGAAATAGTAAAATTTCTGGCGTTTTTAGGTACTGAAATCTTGAAAGGTGTAGAACAAAAGTAAGCACAAAAATAAAATCCTTGGTGTTCTGTTTATTCATTGTTACTATTTAAATTTACTCAAATAAAATAGTAACTAAAAAAAAGCGTTTGTAAAACATGCGTTTACTGTTATCCGAACCGCACATTATTTTCACGTAGTTATAAATAAAAGTAAACAATTTTATATGTAGGACTAAGCAAGTAAATGTTATAAGAATATTTACATGTGGAGTTATATACAAAAGTATTTTCGTAGATTTCAGTACCTAAAACCATGATGGTTTGATCGTTTTTTGCACCTGTTTATTCGTTTTACTGCAGCGTCTTTGAAAATACTCAGATGTCACAATAATGACATAATATTCCTATTATTTGATAAGCTTTAGATTATTCAGTTATTAAATGTTTGAAATTATTTGTCTTTGTGGAAAACACTATTTAAAGAATACGGCGCCGGCGCCCTTAGCTAATTTTCTTTTTGCTTTTACTTAAGGAGGTTTATCTGCTTTAGAATTGACGAACAAATATTCATAAAAAAATTAATATAGGCTTATTAATATGAAGAAAATACTCAAAAAAAATTATGAGTAGTTTGGATACCTAAGAGACGAGATATTATGAGAATGCAGATTTTTTTGGTCTTTCCACTTCGAATGCGCAACAATTGACGAACAGTTTCCACAGCAACTTGTATAAATAGGAAACCGATATCTAAGGAACCGTATGACAGCTTGTAGAAATCGATTAGGTACTTGTAAGATACTAATTTACAATAATTCTCCTTCAAACTGCTGTCGTTGACTAACTTATCCTCCATATGCGTGATAGCGGCAACACCGCGGTCTCGATGTAGCGTGTTATTTGAAATTCGCAGTTGTCCAGAATAATCGAACAGGAGCGCGCAAACGCCGAGCCGAGCAACGTTGCCAAATCTAAAGGCTTTCTACTTTAGTCCCTAGCGAATCTACAGAAACTTTCGTTAGACTTTAGACGGACCTCCGTATCCGATAAACCTCCTTAAATTACACTATATTTTTACTTGGGGCTATTTCAATGTGTTAACCATCTCATTTTGCAACTAGAATAACAGTAACATAACACTTGATATACATATAATGTGCACATACATACAGGGTGTCCCAATGTGACGAGATATTAGACATATTTTAGACTACTTCGATTTTAATTTTGAAAATTTGGGCAATAGTGTTATCGGGCATGCCCCTCTCAACTAAAATAATGGCGTCCACCTAATTCTTCTGGTTATACCGAAAGTTGAGGTAATCTTCGTTATTTTAAATGGAACACCCTGTATATTATTACAATTTTGGATTCTACGTCAATATTTAGGTGAACCTACATAAAGGTTTCCTATTCTTAAAGTTAACTGTTTTTGACATTAAATTTTTTTTTTTTTTTTTAATTAAAAAAGCACTGCCTAATTCAAAATGATGTGTATTTTACAATAATAAGCGATAAAAATTCGGAACATAACTAAAACTCTAAGCTTCCCTGCCATAATTTCAAAATGAGTTAATTTTATACAGGGTGGTAGAAATTTAATGTCGAATTTAGTCAACCATCTCAACTTATTTTTTTTTTCGACGAATTTCGAACGAAATTTTAAACTCAGGCTTTGAATCTAGGACAAGAAGTCGCCTGCAGAGCCCGAAAAACGCACAAAGCACAATCGGGCAGTGTAGCACAATCTCAGAACATGGAGCTTGTCACGGAAAACACATAGATACCAAAACGAAATTTTCACGCATCTTTCGAATTCAACACCCAACATCCAAAGCAGACGATGTCAGTAGTGCCCGACGCTGTAAGCAGAGCGACCGCCGAAGTCGCAAGAAAACCAATTTCCATTTTCCACTTCTTCCGCACTCTCTAATTTTCCGGCAAAATGCTTAGAAATACCACGAAAGTCGAACTGAAACATCACGATAAAGCGAACAAGAATAAATCCAACAGCTGATCAGCCAGAATCCAAGAAGGGTTCAAGCAACACACACGAGAGATCTTCCGAATCCGGAGACGCCAGATGTCGGCAGTCGACGCGAAGATCACAGCAGGACTTGACGGAGCCACCCCTTTGTGTAATCGAACGTCGACTCTGGTATTGTCCGGAAACAAGGGCAACGGTCAGTACGCTCACTACACTACGAACACTACATATTTTCAATACATTTTTGCAACTGAAAACATTGTTAAAATATTTTGCAAGCCGAGGCTCAGATCTAGATCAATCTAGCGATCAAATCGCTCAGGAACCAGGCACATGGTCGATAACAAAGAGGCTTCTCAGCTCAATATCAAGTTGCTCAAGGAGATTAGGCTTTGGTAGTATGCTAACTTTCTACATAGTTAGAATCCAAATAATGTAAAATTACAGCAAATTCACAACATATTTTTAAGTGCTGTTAATTTTAAGTATTTTGAATTTCGGATTGGTACGTGTCAAAAATTATAATTATAGCTTTTATTAGGCACAGTAGCAGCATTATTTAATTTAATTAACCATTAGTTATTTTTTCAGCATATCCTAGATATTGCATCAACTGCGCCATATGTCAATAGCAACTGTAACTCTTGGATAACAGCAATAGCGGTTTTCATTCGTAAGGCAGGTCGGGCCTTCTACGATGAATCATACAAACAAAGAGTGAGTCGACAAGCGACAAATTTTTCAGCCATGTTTCGAGCGCAGCTACATATGTTGCTAAGGAATAGCGACTGACATTTAGAGATTGATTCGTAACGGAACAACGTACAGATTGGTACAATTCGTCGGTTCAGGATTATTTTCAGCTAATCCGGTGGAGTTGGCGCCGATCGCGCTGGACCAGTGTTTTGCTGCAGACTGGGCGCCGGTCTTACCTACATACTTAGCAAGGTGACTTTATTCCGTGCAATTATCCGCGTTACGTAAATATCATTATGCAGCTGCTGCAATTCCAATGCTTTATCTCAATATACATTCTGTTGATATTTTTCTCGCATTCCCCTGCAAGCAGTCGACTGTTAATATTAATAATGCTAAACTAAAACTAAATTGTGGTAAGTACGGTGGCAAATCCAAAGGGACTTTGAAACAAAAGGGAACCCTTTTTTGTCTAAGACAAATATAAAAAAACATTGTTCTTGGCTTACTCCACTTCCTAGGACCAGTACGCTCGGTCAGATTCGATTTTTTCACTAATATCTGTGTAACTGGAGTAATTATTTCCTTGTTTTGAGGAATTGGGTTACTGCGGATTCCTCTAATAACGTGCCGTACACAGGAAATGTACGTTATTGAGTCTCTGTTGGTCGGTCTCTTTTCATTTCTGCTTTTTCTTAAAGCTTCCGACTTTGTTTTTGGGGAGCAATTTTTGTCTTGTGCTTGATATTTTTTTGTGTTCTTTCCCTATTGTCTGCGTCTTTATTTTTGGGTTATAGAGTAATTTTGTATTGGGCCCAGGAGTGTAGTGTAGTGAATTGAAACCTGGGATGCTCGACATAGGATCTAGGTCCTGAGCTCACAGTTTATAACAATGCTGAACAAAATAAGTTTATTTGGTATAATTGATATTGGCTACATACAATAGGACAAATTTAATATAACGAAGATGAATGCGAAGAGTAGTTCTCAAGAATGTTGCCCTGGTTAGTGACACACAGATGTGACGTTCGATCGCTCCCAAATTCCCATTGTGGGTTATTGCATTTCAAGCACTCTTGGAAATGAGGGATTTCTACCTTTCCTTGGCGATTTTGATACGTCATCGGAGTTGGTTTGTTGGGTGGTGAGTTTAGTAGTTGCTGAACGGATTCTATGAATTTCCCAGAACAGCGATTTTCTTAGCGAGCGGTCTACTAACGGCATCTTCGGTGATCGTCATCTGGTTGAAGTGGGTCTGTCTGAAGCAATTTAGGGCTTCCTGGAAGTTCGGCGATTGGCTTCAAAACATTAGTGAAAATTTCGAATCTCAACCGGCGTTCTCAGGGTTTTGGATAACCGAGATTGATGTTCTCGGACTGCCCCTCTCTCAGTGTTTTTGGATTTTTTTCGGACTCTATGGGAGTCTTGCAGTTTTGTTTATAACTATATATGTACCGGTCCAAATATGTACCCATGCATGTTTGTAAGAGTTTTTGAAAAAAAATTCTATTTTTATCTAAGAAAAGGTAAAAAAAATTGTCCCGACTCAAATTCATTTCTAAAATCTGATTTTCGCTAATGGGTCACAAAAGCGTTTCATAAGTTACCCAAAATATTGAAGAGGACAATAATATCCTAAAAAAAATAATAATAAAATAAATAAAATAAAAAATTTCACCGCATGTAAAAAAAGAATGTAAGATTATTGGATTATTGGACCTGGACCTATGTACATTAGTAGATGAGTTTTCTTCATCAGTCTTATATTCCATTTATTTTATTCCAAAGGAAATCTACGTGACCACAGGAAATCGCAGCTGTGAAGAAAA